CAATAAAAAAAGCTAAGAAGGAAACCAAAAGACCAGAACACATCCTCTTCAGCAACCAACACCCAGATAAGCAGGGACTAATTAACGCCAGGCAAACAATCAAGCAGAAAACAACAGCCTAATCAAAGAACCACCAAGGAGGAAACCATACCACTCCCAATACTGGTAGGGCAAGCTACTGTACAGGGAGCAAACCCCACAGTCACTGGCACTGATTATGTTACCTAGTTGAGTAATGCAAGCAAACAGCCAAGCTCAGGGAGCACCAAGGACTCCATAGAATATATTTTGTTTTGACAATATGGTACATATCGAAGTTAATTTATCAAAGTAGAAAGCTTGGTATGGATAAGATTGACAACTAGAAGGAAGAAACATAAAATATATTTTTCACTGCTGGAACTCAAAAACAGCTCTCAGTCTTTCACAGAGGGAATGAGCTTAGCCTTAAAGGAAGAAAAAGACACTGCAAAATAGGTGACAGGGCAGCAGATTTCTGGAAGGCAAAGGGGATGCAGTTGCATTCTGCAAAAGATGAACAGAAAAGTCACAGCAAGTAGTAGCTCACTATTGCAAGGAATTGAAAGAATTATGCCTAATAGGTCCATTGACTCATGGATTGTGCTGTCAAGTATTCCTTCCTGCTAATCCATGTGTGGACAAATGATACTGAAAAGTATAGTACAATTACATCATGGATTTGGAAGTTCTGAGGGAAAGAGCTTCAGATCTTGGGGAGCGCTGGTACTTTTTTCATCCATTCTTTGAATCCATGGAAAAAGATTGAAGAAGGAAAGAAATATCCTGCAAGTGAACAACTGACTTTGCAAATGGTGTTTATGAGGTATTTGGATTCTAAGATTATGGTGTGAGTTATCTCAGCGAGGGATGCAAATAGATTTAAATGACAAATCACCAAGGAAGAATGCTAGATATAGCTTGGAACTGTAGTGTCAGGAAAGTTGAAGCTCTGGTAAAGATGCTAAGGGTAACAAAAAGTACTTATTTTGTATACTGGTTGCTCAAGGAAGAGGGGAGAATGCTAATAAGTAACAAAGAAAAGATGGAATTTTTCAACTCTTTCTTTGGCTCAGTCATTTTTAAAAGGGGACTATGTGTTCTACCGGCAACTGAAGAGCAGGAAGAAGGGGTAGGATTGAAGTTTGAGTTTAATACAAATATAATCAGGGAATGCCTGCTTACTTTGAATGAGTATAAATGTCTTGAGATTGAGAAATTGTTCCTAAGATCCTGAAGGAATCTGCTGATAATTTGGCCAAATCTTTGTGTATTATCTTTGTGAATTCCTGGGAAACAGATGAAGTGCCACAGGTTTGGAAGAGGGCAAATGTTTCTCCTCTCTTCAAAAAGAGGGAAAGGAGGATTCTGGAAAACTATGGATCAGTCAGTCTGATATGATACCTAGAAAGACTCTAGAGCAGAATTAGAAGAAGTGAATGTGGATTTGTTAAGAACAATTCCTGACTAATTTTATGCTTACTAAAACTGCAGATGACAACATTGGGTGGAATAGCTAATACCTTAGTATTGTGGTTCCTAAACTGTGTGCTGCTGCGAACTGACGGGCACTGCAGGATATTTTATCACTTAATAAACAGAACTGTTAGTTCGCTGCAGCACCCTGGAGTGCAGCGGAGCAGTTTGGAACCATTAGGGCTACTGCGAAAAATTTACTGACACACTAAGGGTGCTGTGAACTGAGAAAATTTGGGAAGCTCTGCCTTAGTGTCAGCCCCACAATGTAAACCAGACCAAGAAATAAACTCCACAGAAGTCTAAAACTACTTTTATTAAGATGGACAATAGTAACAGAATCTTGCAACTTTGATTACGCTTTACCTTCTCCCTCTCTTAAACTCATGTTAATTAGGGGATCGTCTGAGACATTTACACATATCTTCTGCATGATTTGGGCTTAAGCCATGTTTTCCTCCTTGTTGCTTTGGTAACAGATCTTTCCTCTTGCATCAAGGTCTTCTTCTTTATTCTCTATATCCTCTCCCCCATCAGCCTCAGCCCCCCACCCCGCAATCCCAGAAAACTAGAGTCAGGCTCATGGGAACAAACTGTAGATGTGCTGTTTTTTTCTTTTGTTGGCAACTTCTCTAGATCACTCAACAAGTCCTGTAACAACTGTATCCTGAGAAGTTATTCCCCCCCACCCAACTTCTTTGTGCTGTGCAGACTGCTCTTCATCTTCCTGTTCTGGTAGTTCCTGCATCACACCCCTCCTCTCTTGCAGTCACAATGTAGATGAAGCTGGTAAGGCTTCCCTGTCCCCCACTTGTGCCCCTGCCTGATCTGTGCCTTCCTCCAACTCAGAAAACTCAGAATACTGCCTGTTCTGGCATGTACAAGTCTCTTGTAATGCTGGCAGTTCATATGGCCAGGGTTTTCCTGGGCATCACAGATGAAACTTGCACACCAAGATATTCCAAACATTTCCCCTTGCATCTAGAGTCTAAAATAGCCTCCACTTCATACTATTCTCCACCAGGATGGGGTGTGGGTGGTGGTGGAGCTTTTTCTAGTTCCCAAGGTGTAGAGGGTGCCTCCCTTACAAACACTCACCAGTGGAAAACAGGATGAATCTTCATTTATGCTGGCAGTTTCAAACGAAACTCCACTGAGTTTATTTGCTTAACTACACGAAAGGGCCAATAAAATTTTGAGTCAAACTTCTTGGAAGGTTGGATGGATGACAAAAATTTTGTAGAAAGCCATACCAAAACCCCCTCACAGTTTTAGCCCCCTCTTGCCTGTGTGTGACTCTGGCCCGCTTGGATGTTTCTGTGGGAAGCTCCACTGTTCAATCTGCCATAAATAGTTCACATTGAGTTGTTAAGGTCAGGAATTGGTCCTGGTCTCCTCCAAACTTTGATAAACTCCCATGAGAATGCAGAAATATTGGCTGTCCTATAGCCTGCTGTGCTGCTGATGGTTAAGATAAATTCTGACCCAACGAATTTGTTGTGTTATGTTGTGTCATGGCATTTTGTAAGTTGATTATTTGTACAACCACCTGTTGTTGGTGTTGCAACCATGCTGCAGCGAAGTGTTCCCTGAGGATCAGAGGCCATCTCCAGTAATAAAATAAGATCTTCAGCTTCTCTAAAAGAGAGTATGAGACTTGCAAGATTGATGTCAGTCACAGCACATTTTGCTTGGTTAATTTCTATTAACAGCCTTGCTAGGTTAATAGAAATGGTCCGAGAACATTAGAATGGAAATAATACCTGTATTTCCCCGGGGTTAAGAATGCTGGTTTAAGGGCAACCCATAGTTAAGAACGGAGCCTATTGTAGCAAAATTTGAGTTAAATACACAATGATTC